ACACACACACACACACACACACACACACACACGGCCCTTGCACAAGGAAGATGTAGTCATAAAACAGCATAATTTTTAAAAGATATTAAATACACATTTCAATCAAATGAAACTTGGCTGGACTGTAGACCAAAAAAAGAAATAAAATAAAATATATGGATGCATAAGGGACTACATACTATATATCAGGTATTAGGAAATTACCGGTTTTCTTCGGTGTGATACTGGTATTACGGTCAGGTAGCTCATGTGAATGTCCTTATTCTATGAAAACATGCTAAAGTATTTATGGTGCAAGGTCATAATATCTTAAATCACCTTCAAAAGGTTGTTTCCAAATATACATATTTTATACACACATGTATGAAAACATATGCCAATATGTATAGAAAGTTAAAAATGTTAATTGATAAGTCTGGGACACTGAGTTCAACTTTTATATGTATTTGAAAATTTTCCATTTACAAAGCTGAAGAAGTATGTGACTTTATTCTATGAAGTGTAGTTTAAAAGCAGTATTTCTTAGTTATGTAACAACATACTATATTTTATTAGAGTTATTCAACCATGTTAAAAGCAAAATTTAATGTATTTCATTTCTGTGCCAATGAATTCATCTATTCAAACTGGGCCTGTGTCTAAAACTGGAAAGTCAATAAACAGCACAAGATAAGGACAGCAACTAGAGACATAGTTGAAAATTGCTGCTAGGGAGCAAGACATCCTTGGTAGGGAGAGGTGGCTGATGCTGGGAGATACAAGTTTTTAACAGCATGGTGCAAAGAAGTGCTGTTTTACTAAATAAGCCTTGAAAAACCACTTTACTTTTCAAATTCTGTACACCCTCAATACATATTATTATCTCTTTTTTATGTATTTTAGTACAGGGTCTCACTACACCAATCAGACTCCTAGTGATTCTCCTGTTTTCAGCCTCCCAAGGGCTGGCACCACAGGCATGTACCACCATGCCCAGTCTTAATCGCTGTCTCAGCGTGCCCCAGGGGTGGGGCCAGCACAGCGCACTCACTGCTCAATACACATTAAAACTCCATTTAACTTCATTAAATGAATTTAATTTTGCAACCTTGCCCATGCTAATTCTTCAGTCTGGTAAATTTATTTCATATCATTTTAATGTTTTACTTAACAGTAGAAAAAGAAAGAAAATGAGGTTGGTCATCAGGAAACACTGAATTTCCATTTGGAATACATATAAGTTTTGGACTTTGGAGCACTGTGGATTTGTTTAGGGATGTTCAGCTTGTGTGTATTGTGCTTCTCAAGCAGACCTAGATCTACTGGCAAGAGTTTTCATTCTTGAAGTGTTACTTTAACCCCCCCTTTAGGTAGTTATAATGAGAGAGAAAAAATAAAACTCAAGTTACAAAATGTTGTTAGGCTATTTGATATGGAAGTTAAAAATTACTAGTTTTAAATATGACATCTAACACAAGAGAAAAAAAAAACACATATACAACTTCTAAATAAAAATTCAACACTGTTATTTTGGTGTTACAAAATGATTCTATCACTGCCTGGGGGGAAACATGTTTATGTGAGGACACCTTAGTTTGTTGTTGACTGGAATTAATATTTAAAGAGATGCTCTTGTATTTTATTTTAAAAGTGACAAAAAAGTCTATTTTAGAAATTAGTAAAAATGTGTGCATTTTCTTTCAAAGGATGGAAGAGGCAATAATTAATAAAGACAAGTGTTCAGATTTATTTGGAAATTCACAGTTTCTAATGGCACTACAGCTCTGTAGTTACACATTGGAAGTCTTCTCTCCACAACAGACAGATGGTGTGACTTCCCACTCTGTTCTCATCTGGACCTTTTTTCAAGGGCTTCTATACCATCAAGCCCTCCTGCTCTGACTGGCTAACTGTGCAGACTAGAAAAAAAAAAAAAAAGTTTCCTAAAACATACTGCTAACCTAAAGCAGCAACTTAAACAAAAAGGGCTTTAAATAAGTCACATTACAAATAATACCCCAAGAAAGGTATTAAACAAAAACAGTTATTACTAAAAGTGCTCAATAAGTTATAACTTAAATCTCACAACACAAATGGTCAATTCTCTCCCTTTAGAAAAGAAACATGTTCCACTTTCACTCATTACTGTACAATCTCACACTAAGAAATCATTGTGTTCAAATACAGTCACTGCTAATTTTTTTAAAGGAAAAATAAGACAGACAAACACATCGACACCACACTTATGTATCTCTGCACATTGTAGCCAATACAAAGCAAACACCAAGGAATAGCAGTCCCTTTAGACCTGACCAGTTAGACAAAGCTTGACAAACTCACAAGCTTGTTCTGAGCGTACGGATGTGGGCAGTGATTACGCCTTGAGACCTTGACTCAGTCGTCACGCCTTCCACTTTTTTATATTTGTACTAGAAAACAGTGATGTGAAAGTTTAGAGGATTAGTGTTTATTGTATAATGTCTAAAGTGTAACATAGCTAAAGAAACTTTCACAACTGGTTGTGTTTAAAGGTGAATTTATAAAAAATCTGTTTGCAAATACCGGTCATGTGCAAGAAAAGATCTTACAGTTTTTTCCCCCTCAATGAGTTAGTAACTTAGAAAAAAGTAATCCTGCTCCAAGAAATTAAAAGAAAATAACATTCAGAGCATCACTATTCACCTAAAAGAACATGTTGAAATGTTCCAGCAAATGCTTACTTCCAGTGAGTTTGCTAAACAGAGACTCATTCAGCAAGTCTTCAGGGTCTCTGACATACTACTGAGCCTCTGGTGCAGACTGCCTTAAAACCTCATTGTATTTGCGGCTTCAAAAACCTAACAAGTCTATAAAAGAAATCAAATGACAGAAAAAGTTCTCCCTCCTCTTCCAGTGGCATTATAAATAGACAAAAGGCACATAAATATGGGGAAGGTGCAAGAAATAGGAACAAAGCTAAAGGAAGAGGGTTAGGCTTTCATTCCTATTCCACCCAAGGTACTGGGCTTTCAAATTACTTTTGGCCCAGTAATTAATCTGTGAAAAAACATCTTTATAAAAACTGTAGCTCATTAACCAAGATTGACACAATCCCATCTACTTTTTCAAAAGGCATAAATCATAATTTCAGAATATTTCTCCCAATATTTTCTCCCTCCCCAATACCTTCAAATACCACAGACTGTTCTTCAGAGAACAAAAAAAGCCCCCAGTATGAAAAGTTCGATTAATATCAGATATGTCCCGAGACTGCTGTAACACCAAATGTTCCCACGGTGATCTCTTTGTTTCCTTTGATTATGTCGTGCAGGCTTGGCAATGATCCTGACTTAGTCTGTATTAGAGTTTTTATCAATTTTCCTTGATCCTGGACTTTAGACCTCCTTCGTTTTAAAGCCCTCTTTTCAGTCTTTGTCTTTTGGGACTGTCCATTGCACAGACTTGTGCAAGCTGAAATGCCACAAAAATAGGACTCTTCTGACTGTGATGAAGTTTCCGAGCTTCCCTCAGATGGAGGGCCCTTATAAGAAGAGTGATAAACTTCCCCCATGTTAGAAAAATCTCTCTGGTTCGTAAAGGGCTTTCTTCCTTTTATGTCTCCATTGGCTATTGGATGCAATGGATCTGCGGGCTTTATGGTCTCAATTTTTTCCGTTTTGTATTTGCAGCGTTTCTTCTGTAAACATAAATAAGAGGGCAGGAATTAGACCTCTAAAGCTACCTTATTAAATACCCAAGAGAGCTGAGTGAATTCAGGAGCAAAGTGCCACCACCTGGTGAAAAATAAAATAGCATTAAAAACACACATGCACATAAGCACACACTATTATGGCATAACATCACCTTCCTGTTTTATAAATATTACTGAATCAAATGTTTTAACTGCTTACCTTCTAACTATGAGTTGAACACTAACATTTTAATATTTACCCACTATGTGTCAGATATTATACTGGCTTTCCCATATGCCTTATTAACCCTGAAAGAAGTTGATCATAGATTATTAAATAAGAAAATAAAGTTCAGAAGATTAGTTCCTTGCCCAAAATACAAAGCAACAAATGAACAAGTTGAAACTGAATCTTTTAAACTGTCCAACTATAAAGCCCACTTTTTTTTTTAACTCAGACAACTGTCACTAACCAAAATGAGTATAATTTAATTTGACAGGCAAATGGAAAAGTAGGTTTGTAGCAAAAAAGTCTAAGTACATTCTGAATCTTGCCACTATTTAGTGAGTCACGTTAAGCACTGTTTTCATTTAAAAGATGAGGATATACCATGTTCTAGTTGTAAGAGTAACAGAAGTGTATGCACAGACCTTGAATTTATGGATTCTCAATAAATCATGACTATTACCCAAAGATCTGTAAGCATTTTCTTCACAGGATGGAAAATAACATTTTATGTTTTATAGGTCTCTTACTATCTTTCTGAGGAAATATTTCTTGGCTCCGCCCTCATACAAAATAAGGCACAATGGTGCATGAGTCATACTTTTGTTGACCACTGTAAACACTTATTTACATTATCACCACATTTGAAAAATAAATGCTAAAGTTATATCTTCAATCTATGTCTTCATTTATCATCTACCATACTAATAAACTTCAAAAGAAGAGGATATTACCTTTTTTTCTGGAGAAAACTTCAGAGGTTCTACGATGTATAAATCATTTGGGTCTACTACAAGAAAAAAAAAAGCAGATGTAAAATGAAAATATGATTACATTATAAGTAAATATATATTATCTTTCAGTGGTCATTTTATTAATAGAAACATAATTATATGTTTATACCTGGCTATGCACTTACGTATGTTACATTAGTAAACCACAAGAGGCAAGGCAGGAGACAGTAACATTTTTAATTTGGAGCTGGTCATTATTTGAAGGTTAATCACCTTCAAGTCATTATATTTCCTTGTTATATTTTAAATTAACAGTTGATTATCAACTAGCACAATAAAGATCCTTCTGAGACCAGCCCTATCCTCCTATCTTACAAGAAAAAAGCTAACAACAAACCTCCAGATTATTTGAATATTTTCCTGAAAGACTAAATTATCCATTGTGCCCAAAGGTGGATTAAAAATGCACAGCAAGCATTTGTGACGGTGGTATAAAGAAGACAGAGGGAAAAGATGCAGGAACTTTTCCTAATTGTTTACTTCTAAGATTAAATTAAGCTCCAAAATCTAAAAATAGCTTGAACATGCAATATATATGATTGAGCAAAAATGAATAAACACTCTGGCACAGTAAGTAAATTAGATCTGTAAGTTTTAGCCTAAAGTACCTAAAATTTCATCACTCAAAGCACATTCAAGCTACTCCTAATCTACTCAACTGACCAGACAGACAGACACACACACACGGAAATGAGACTTAAGGTCTTCAATAAAAGAAGTCTTTAAAGTCTGAAAGCACTAAGTTTAAAGTAGTAAATTATCTATAAACTTTTACATACCAGAAATTTATCAATGATATGATTGACTACTATAATTCTTATACATGTCCAGAGATTCTGTTAAAAGTCACTGATGAAGATATTGAAACATTCCTCTACACAGTCATTTCTACAGACCACTACTCTCAAAACTTTGTTTGTTTGTTTGTTTGTTTGTTTGTTCTGCAGTACTGGGGATCAAACTCAGGACCCTGCACTTGCCAGGCAAGTGCTTATTCTACTGAGCTATCTCAAAACTTTAAAAAAAAATCATGTATCTATTTCTAGGAATGATCATCATTATTTAGATAAACTTCTGCACTGAAAGCAACTGAATACAATAGAAAAAAACCAAAAGAACATTGAAACCATAATTTCTGGGCCAATGAAGGAATAAAAAGAATCCAAATAGAACACAAGTCATTTTTTGTCTTGAGTACATTTGACAATATAAGAACATAAGAATTTTGGTTTGGATGATATCAGAAAAGTTTGAATCAGAAATCAGAGCTCTCAGGGCCGGCCTGATAGCTCAGCAGACTAAAGTGCCTGCTTAGGCAGAGCGTGGAAGCCTGGGTTCTATCCTGGTGTGCTGGGCCAGACCCGCCCCCAAGACGCACTGAGACTGTGATTGAGACTGGGCATGGTGGCATGTACCTGTAATCTCAGCCCTTTGAGAGGCTAAAAACAGGACAATCACTACGAGTCTGTTCTATGTAGTGAAATCCTGTAGACCCTGTATCCCCTGTACTAAACACATAAAAAAAAGAAATAAATTAAAAAAAAAAAAAAAAGAAATCAGAGCTCTGGCACTCACAGAGTAGTCCTAAAATGACTTTACCCTCTGAACATAAACTAAGAGTTGAAAGGACTGCATCTTGAGCATAAGAATTAATTTGAGGCTCAAATTCCCAACACCTGATAGCCCACAAACTTCAAGCCACGAATATAAAATGCTGTATGAATGCAAAACAAGCAAAAATTTCCTCTAGAAGAGGGACTTACACTTTAGCTGTTTAATTTATCCCTATAATAATTTTCAAAGCTGAACAGCACACAAAGACAGTAAAGCATAAAAGAGATGTAATATACCTGGAGTAAAAACTTACAAAGGCATGAACACATTCATAAAATTTTAAAACATTAGAATTATTTTAAATATTAAAAACCACAAACACATTATATTTAAATAAAAAAAGACACCTGAAAATATCTTCAGGAAACAAAAAAAGATCCATTTTTTCACTACAAAATATAAAACTCTTAAATAATAAATGAAATTAAAAATCCAATGGAATAACTTAATAATAGACTATACAGAGCGGAAAAGAAATCAGAAAAAAAAATTATCTGAATTATAACATAAAGACAAAAAGATGAAAAGCTTGTAAGCTGAAAATTAAATTTGAGAACTAAAAAAGAATGGGCTAGAGATAATGTTTGAAGGGAAAAAAATAGGATAGAACTTTCTAGTACTAGTTAAAAGAGAAAAAAATTATGAATGAAAGAGTCTAAATCTCAAATATTATTAAAGGTAAAAAAATAATAATATTTCAGACATTTAACAGAAGTTATGACAAATGAGAAGTACTAAAGATTTAATAAGCATAAATAATTTAGTAAAACGTGTGCAAAGGTACATGAGCAATAAATACAAAATGTAGCAATACCATGAAGTTACAATTAAGAAAAACACAAAATATTATATAATACATAATACACTAAATACAGAGCAAAACAAGAGATAAATTCAAAGTAGAGAGAAGTTCAAGTATTTCCCCAAATTACATATTCCATAGTGTTAAAAGTATTTCAATATATATGCTAAATTTCATTTACAAAAATATCTTAACTTTGTTGAAAAAATGTCTATGGAGCTGGCATGGCAGCATGCCTATAATCCCAGCAGTTGTGACGCTGAGGCAGGAGGATTGCTATGAGTTTGAGGCCAGACTGGGTTTTAAAGTTCAAGTCCAGCCTGAACTACATAGTGAGACCCTGTCTCAAAAAAGAAAAAACAAAACTCATCACCAGAAAGTCTAATGAAAGCAGGGAAGCAGTATAAAAAGAACAATTAACAAGACAAAGATAACATGGGAATATCTTTGTGCTAATGCATTTTAACATTCAGAATAAACATGTGGATTCTTGGAAATTGTAGTTCAAAGTGACCAGAAAAAAGAAATTTATCATAACAATGACAAATTCCCTACAATAAATGTTATCAATCTGAAAAAACAAACTATCTGTAAAAAATAAACAACAATCAGAAGTCACCAAGGCCAGGGATATAGCTCAGTAGCATAAGCGCCTGCCTGGCAAGCTCAAGGTTCCAAGTTCAATCCTCAGTACCATAAAGTGACCAGAAAACCCTTTTCCTATAACCTATATTCCAAACTTTTAGACATGTCTGGAATATCTTAACTGATTCAAAAATTATTATTATCTCAAAGTCCTTCTGAGGGAAAAGAAAAAAGAGAGAGAACATTACCTACCTAAATTTTTTAAGCTTTACATACCAAAACCTGACATGAGAAAAAATCTGTCATTTTATTATTCATGAATAGATGCAAAATTTCTAGTTATTAAAGTTAGATTAAATAATATATACAAAAATTCACACACATGACTAGCTGGTGCTTCACAATGCAAGTCAAATACAGACTGAGATAAAGGCCTCAAACATTAGTGAACAGTTAAAGATAATCAATGTAATGGCATTTTCAGAGCATAAAGTATCACTTCAAAGGTTGCTAAAAATATTCAGCAAACAGGGGCCGGGGAGATGGCTCAGTGGAATAAGCGCTTACCTGGCAAGCGCAAAGGCCTGAGTTCAACCCCTGGTTCCACCAAAAAAAAAAAAAAAAAAAATTGGCAAAATTAAAATAGATCATGAAGAAGGGGACCATTAGCCAACTGAGAGGAATGTCCTCAGATAAAGGGTATTTACAAAATATCCACAACAAATATAAACACTTAGTAGTAAGTAATGAGTCTCTGTCCTCTGAAAAAGACAAGAGTATCTATTATTTCTAGTTAACACCAATGAAAATGATAAAGCTCTCAAGTAACAAAAAACCTGTAAGGACTGTAGGAGAAAACAAAATTATTTTTATTCTCAGAAACATCCTTATACTATTCACAGAAAACCTAAACTGATCTACAAATTAACTATTCCGATTCAACACTGCTGTACATAAAAATCACATACAAATTTAAGACAGGGGGTTGGGCAGAGAGCTCAGTGCTCCAAGAACCTGCCTGGCAAGCGCAAGGACCTGGGTTTGATTGCTGGTACTGCATGCTACATCAGCCCTGGACCCCCGGGCACGCCTTGCAGGCCACCAAGACCTGGCGTGGTGGCACGTGGCACATGCCTGTAATCTCAGAGCTGGGGGGGGGGGCGCTAAGATAGAAAGATCACTACAAGTCCCAGCTGTGTAGTGAGGCCCTATACTAAATAAATAAAACAAAATAAAGTTAAGGCGAACACAGTGGTTTGTGTCTAAATTCCAATATTCTGGAAGGCTGAGGCAGGAAAACACTGACTGGCCAACTTCGCAAGATCCTGTCTCAAAGGCGGGGTGGGGGGGGACTGGATGTGTAGCCCTGGGATCAATCCCCAGTTTTGGAAAAAATATTAGGATTGGATTTTTTGTTTCTGGTTAAGCACCTAAGAAATTTGCTGCCATTGTGTCTGAATAAATAAAAGCTGAATAATCTCAAAAGCTAATACTCTTCTTAGACAATAGAGATGAAGTCACAAGGCTGACAGCTAACCACTGACCCCAAACTAAAGACCTACAGGTAGCTGCAGAAAATCCCAGCTAACTGCAGTGTGAACCTCTGCAAGAGCCATGTTAGGTGTACAGAGACCTCAATTATAATGGATGAACTATTGAAGATTCAATGTGGAAAAAATATAAACAACTACACAGCATTTGAAAGTCAAATAAATAGTCTCCCCAGTAGGACATGTAAGTAACTGAAAGGGCACAATGAAGTTTTTGAGATGTTGATAACACGTACTTTGCTTCTTAATCTGGATGTAGGGACATAGGCATGTTGAGTCTGAAAATTCTTGAGCTTTATATATGATCATTATGTTTTCTTGTATGTGGTACTTCAATAAGAAATTTCACTTTAACAAAAGACAGCAGCCAAAAGAAAAAGAAAAAGCAAGAAGGACAAAGAGATTTACCTGACCTAAGTAAACATTATCTAAAGTGTTATATTTGGAAAGCTTTGTGATAACAATATCCTAGTGAAGTTCAGGAACCACTTATGTAAATGATTCAATCGACTGACACATGCTGCTCAGTTACAAATCCAAAAGAAAGGATGAACAGCCAATGATTATTAAACGAGCTTTCATAATTACATAATTTCTTATTTTAATATTGTTATGCACATCATTTTAAAGTTTCTTAATAAGCACTATTTACAGAAATACTAACATAAGAAAACAGCCAATCAGTATGCATACCCATTCATTTAAAAGCCAAGTATATAATGAATGTTAGTTAGACAAAGGAACTCAATTATAGTCTGGAGCTATAGAAGAGAAACAGATTGGATTTTCACTTAGAAAGTACCTCATGGTCCTAAACTTGACACAAAAGGGATCCTACCTGTACAGGAAGAGGAGGCAGATAAGCACAGGATGCTATGGGAGCACATTCAGGTTTTCCATATCTGTTGAACTTTCTCAAACATCCCTTTCTAAAAAGAAATACTTCTAAACAGGAGCATGTGCAAACAAAACTACCAACTGCTAATTAAATAAACTAAGCCCCCCTCCCTACCCTTTGGGATTTTAAAAGAACAAAGAGAAATAAATTTGAAAATAATAAAGAGGCTGTGACACAGCACAAACACATCAGTTCTTGTATTCATTTTTTGTTGCAGGTCATCATGAACACAACAGTGACATCACATTTATGCTGGAAGTAATATTTTTATACACATATTATATAAGCACAAAAAATTACCTTCTTTGCCAGTTAACTGGAGAGACTTAGATCTGATGAGTGGAAATGAAATTCTTCTTTTCAAATTCATATCATCATAGGAAGAGAAACACCTAACAAATTAAGAAAAATTAATACTGCATACAATGCATACACTACAATTACTCTGCAGTTGGGGTTACTGAGAACAGTACATAAGAGACTAAACCCAAACTAACCATCCCTCCCCCCAGAATGTAAGCCCTCTGAAGCCAGGGGCTATTCACTGTTATGTGCCCCAAGACTGTACAGCTTACACCTTATAGATATTCAATAAACTTGTTAACCCAATGCAAATTTATTAAGCAACTTTATAACTATTATTGCTAGTACGTATAAAAAATTCTCATCTAAAATTTGTAATATTAAAATACCTTTTAATTCTACATTTGAATTCTACATGAGTACTTTCTCAACCAATTTCAAGGATTTTATACACTTACTATCAGTGTTTTCTCTGGCTATAGAGCCATGTAGGCATAGATCATCTCACTCACCTAAGGATATCTTCTACCAAAAGGCTTCAAGATAATCATGTGGGAGTTTCACTTTTTACTTTTTTATTTGCTCAGTGTTTCTCACAAATATTAAAAGGATGGCAAAAAAGAAGAAAATTGTGACATAGAATGCTAGTATTACCTTTTAGGGCTTGGGTATTGATTACTTTTGGGAAGTTTTGAAATATAATCTCCATCAAATTGAGAAGTGTTGCGACAACGCTGCATACAAAGCATCAGTCCCAAGACAACACAAAGAATTAAAGCTATAATAAGATAGCTTTGTCGATCTGAAACCTGAGATGAAAAGAGGGTTAGACAATAAAAATTATAATAAATTATCCTAGGAAAATATAGTGACTCTAAACTTCAAACCACAAAATGGTGGGCATGTTCTTTGAAAAATTAACTGTTAATGCAATATTTGTTTTTCTGCCTTCTCCTTACCCTATTTCTTTGTTTAAAAAATTTCACACTATGGAAGTTTTCAAAATAGTACAATGGATATATTTATGCTTTTCAGCTATGTTTATCCATCATTTTTTTCATATTTGGTTTGTCTTTCTATTTGCATTTATTTTTACTTAGGGAGAAAAAAGTGCTCTCCAGGAGTCTTTTCTGTCACACAAAACTGAACCAATGATCATCTAGATATTTAAACCAAAGACCTGGAAATCATCCTTATTTCTTCTCTATACATGCAATATTTCAGCCCACCCTGTTTCTCTGCCTCTTCAATATACCATGAATGCAACAAGCCTGTACTAGTCTCTGCTTCTGAAGTCCTCCTAGTCCAAGTCAACAACACTTCACCCAAGTCACTGTAGTTGCACCCTAACTGCTTTCCTCCCTGCTTCTGCTCTTGCTCATCCGCAACAGGCAATTAATTCCCCACAGAGCAGGAAGTGGGCTTCTGCAACCCCATAAGCACTAGTGAAGCAATCCACATCTCATCCTTACTTAGTGTTTTCCAGGAACAAGTAGTAATTAGGATCAAATTCGAACTTTAAATGGGTTATAAAATTCTACATGACTAGGCAAGTGTCTGCCAATAGTTTAAAGGCATCTTCAGCCTAATTTTTCTCATTCATTCTGCTTTAGCCACTGCAGATTTCTTTGTGCCCATCAAAGTATCATGTTTCAAACTTGGGTCCTACAAAAAGCAGTCTCCCTCAGTACTAACACTGCACTACACACCAACACTGCACTCTTTTCATACTACTTACAATAGGAGAAATTATCATTTAAACATGTATGTTCTATATGTATGCTATCCCTTCCCAGAATGAAAATTCTGCCAGGTCAGCATTGTATGTCCTAACTCAGGATGCTACAGCCCACGCTTTACATTTAAAGGTTACTCATAAATACTTGTTAAATCAAAGAAAGCTTTGCTTTATTGAGCAAATTTACAAGTCTTTTGATATTGAAAATAAAGCCTAAACAGCTTTGTGCCTGTATTATAGGTAAGACCTAAATTATTAAAGCCATGTCACACAAGATTATATTTCTGAAACTTTATTTTTTTTATTTTTTTTTTAA